AAAGGATTATTCTTTTGCACAAGAGATCATAATGCTTTATATGGGAATGCAGCAGGAACAATCTTACCAGCAACTATATTTCTATATTTAATTTGTTCTTATGCTCTTACCACTAAAGTAATGCCATTTCTTCATTTGGTTGTTGTGAATTCTATATTTAATTTGTTCTTATGCTCTTACCACTAAAGTAATGCCATTTCTTCATTTGGTTGTTGTGAATTCTATATTTAATTTGTTCTTATGCTCTTACCACTAAAGTAATGCCATTTCTTCATTTGGTTGTTGTGAATAGAAGAAGATAATTCAGTATAAAAGCAATTGATCATGTTCTTTATTTCTGAAGAGTCGATATACTGTACCCGCCTAACTGTTACATGGTTATAACAAAACAACTGTTGTTTTTATTTGCAGGTTTTATATGATACTCAGGCTCCATTAAATGCTATCAATAAACTTCCAACTGTGCCAATGCTAGGACTGACACAGCGTACTAACACTGCTTACCAGTGTTTCTCAATTCTGCCTCAGTCGCCCACACACATCAGGCTGGCCTTTAGGAATATGTATTGCATAGACATTTATTGCCAGAGCCGTGGAGTGGTGGCAATTCGTGATGGAGCATATAGTCTTTTTGACAACAGTAAAATTGTGGAAGGCTTTTATCCTGCACCAGGACTGAAGGTGAGAGTTCTTTGTTTATTTATTCTATAGTATAATTAGAAGATTGGTTGGGATCATTAATGTTTCAGAAATCTTCTGTAAGTGGTGAAATTCTTTGGAAGGTTCTTTCAAATACATGTATAACGTTTAAGCTTCTAATACATCCAGTGGTAAGGATATCAGTCACTCTGTTCTGTCTTTTTAGAACACAATGTATTGAATGTACTGAATGGATATTGGGCAATATAGTATCCTATCATTACCTTTTAGTCTTTGGCACTTCAAAATTGTGTTCTGGCTTTTTGGAATTGTTGTTGCAGTAGATTATAGTTCACAATTTAAACATTCTGGTAACAGGATTAGACAAGACAGCTGCCAGAGATTTTAAAGAAATGCTTCCAGGCACAGCACAAGGTTGAGTAGATGAGTCTGTGATTAGAATGTTTTATTAATCATTTTAGTAAAACTTTGTTTTTAAAAATGTAAGCAAATGTGAGTTGCGATAGTGCAGCTAATATTGTCACAAACTTTTCAGTAACCTGGGCTAAGTACTATTTTTGAAATGATAGAGTGAATTTATTTCAGTGAATCTTCATAATTGAAAAAGATTGCTGATGTTCTGGTGGTGAAAATCAACAATTAGACTAATAAGTCATTTCTGATCATTTGTAACACAGAATTCACCAGTATTATGTATTCACCTTTGGAGGCCTAGCAAGAAATTGTTTTAGATATCTGAAATATTGATAATTTAGAACTGTGGCATATTGCTATTAAGATTGTTGTGTCTGAAAGATGTAATGAGAATGTATTTTCATAAATCTGAATACTCTGAATTCACAGACTTTCCTGAACATGTTCGTTGACAGCAATCAGGATGCAAGAAGACGATCTGTCAATGAAGATGATAATCCACCATCTCCTATTGGTGGGGATATGATGGATTCACTGATATCACAACTTCAGCCACAGCAGCAGGTAGCATACGTGCATGCATAAATTTAGTATCTCAGACTAAATACTGTTAAATCATTTGGGGCAAATGTCTATTCTTAGTCTAATCTGGTAAGATAGTACAAATGGAGAAGCAATAAGGGGAAAACCCTAGCTTGGTAACTGAAGATACACTTTTCAAACAAAAGTTCAGAAGTTTGATATCTAGCATTCCCAAGAGGATATATTAGATTTCTGTCTGAAATCCTGGAGAAATGATATTGAGTGTACAGTCGTGTGAAAAAGAAAGTACACCCTCTTTGAGTTCTATGGTTTACATATCAGGACACAATAAAAATCATCTGGTCCTTAGCAGTTCTCAAAAAGTAGGTAGATACAACCTCAGATGAACAACAACACAGTACATACTACACCATGTCATCATGTATTTTACAAAAAGAAAGC